ACCTGACCCAAAAATGCGGTTGGTGTCAGAAGATCCGGCTTGAATCAAAGGTCAGGTATGCCAAGTTTCAACTCTCTATCGCCAGCGTGTTCGGAGCTATCGCGAAAAAACCCTATGGGGGGGGGGCGGGTGCCGCCCCCCCATAGGGTTTTTTCGCGATAGCTCCGAACACGCTGGCGATAGAGAGCTGAAACTTGGCATACCTGACCTTTGATCCAAGCCGCATCTTTTGACACCAACCGCATTTTTGGGTCAGGTCAGGTCACTGACCTATGACGTCATAAGTGAACCTCTGCACGGTCTTCAGATGTCGCAACTTCGCAACGCCCTCACTGCCAGAGGAGATGTCACAGGGAAATGAAACTTGCAGGATCTAGTATCCATTATGAGTCTCACAACTTGTATATCTCGGATTTTTCCTAAAGGTCATATGAGGTCAGGTCATTTTCGTGACCTCACCATTATAAGTCAATGGGGAAAAATTCAAACTGCTATTCTGGCACCGGGAACGATCTCTAACTATCTCAAGCACACAGAAACGTGATTTGATGCACTCCTTGCAAGGTTAGATGCGTCACTTTTGCAATGTTGACCTTGCGTGACGTCATTTATGACGTCATCAAGGTCATATTAGTTTTTCGTCAATAACTCTTGATCAAATTGAGCTAGCGAGTCGAGAAAGCCACCAATGGACTCAGGAAGACCTGCCGAATCGAATGACATGCGACATGACCTCTTTCGACCAACTTCGTGACCTGGGGGTGCTGACCTGACCTTGACCTGAGGTCAACACCCCAAGTTGACCTGACCCGGACAAAAAGTATATCATTCGACGCGCCTGAGCGAGGCGAACACGATGCTGCCAAAATCGCGGCTCTACGGCCATTTTTTGCGAAGTTATTCACCAAAAACTGAACCGTACCCTGGGGCACTTGACCTGACCTCAGAGGTCACCGGTTGACCTAGGACCTTAAAATCGGGTACCAACCTCTGCGTCTCGTAACGGCGCACACGCTCGTTTTTTCCGCGACGCGCTAGCTCCACCAGGGGCGAAACGGCGAGGGGGGGGGGGGGTCGTACCCGCCCCCCCCCCTCGGCCGGCGCGTATGTAGAAAACCAATAGGTCCGGCGAGGGTTAAGTTATACACTATTCAAGTATACTCGGATGCAGGATTAACTTTGTTTCTCAATTCATGGGCGTAGGAACGGCTGGAACATTGTGGGTGCACATGGGTGCAGAAATACGGCCATGACCGCTGAAGCGGAAGGCGGGGGGGGGGGGGGGCTAGGGAGCGGCACCTGAGCGGAGGCTCATTGCGAGTTTTGAGGTATATATATATATATATATATATATATATATATATATATATATATATATATATATATATATATATATATATATATATATATATATATATATATATGTATAAGTACATAACAATAAGTAATAATATATATATAACAATAATGATATAAATTATAAACCAAATTATTACAAATGCATTCAAATATATTCAAAAAGACACACAAAGCTTTCGGTTCATGGAACCTTGATCACTGTGCAAATGAGTATAACAATCGCTCTAACCGTCTAAAAATTCTTTGAAATTAATCAGCCGCGTGTTTTCTTCTTCTGCTGGTCTACCACCGATTTTGCTGCCATTGACGACCATGTGATAAATCCGCTCCTACTGTTAAACGTATCACGTGTGATGATGTGGGCTGCTTCCAGGACCTTCCTTGTACCTTTCTTTATATTGTTTTCTAATATCTTCGTACCGTCCCAGTCAGGTAAGTGGTTACACTTTTCTATATGCAGTACTATTGCATTTGATGTTCGGTGAAATTTTACATCGCTTCTGTGTTCCTTCAAACGAACTTCCACCCCTTGACAAAACCACCCCTTGACTTCCACCACTTGACTGTGTGCTGAGTAAAAGTAAAAGGACGAAAAGCGGAATAGTTATCGGTTTCTTTCTCAGAGCGCTGAGAATCTGCAGCGATGAATTCATTCAGGAAGAGTTCAATCATATTTATACTTCGTTCGAAAAGCTGAAATATCCCAGAGGATTTTTAATCAAACAAAAAGAAAAAGCCGAAAAAATCAAAAATCGAAGAAACGAACAAAACAGAAGATACGAACAAGAAACGAACCAAGCGCAAAACGATGACACCAACAGAAGACTCGAGCGACGTACGAACCAAGCACACGGAGATGAGACCGACAGAAGACACGAACGACGCGCGAATCAAGCAAACGGCGACGATGCCAACAGAAGAGACGAACAACGTGCGAACAAAGCACACGAAGATGACACGAGAAGAAAAGCCATCAAAAGAAAGAGATGGATTTCGGTCCCAAATTCGAAAAATATTGATATCATAGTAAGAACACTTGAAAAGTCAGATATCAAAGTAGCTACAGTAACAGGAAAGAAAACTCAAGATTTAGTCAAGCACCATGAAACCAAAAAAGATACCAGTGATGAAAAAAGTGTAGTTTACGAAATACCATGCAAAGGGTGCCAAAGAACGTACGTTGGGGAGACGGGAAGAGGGGTGGAAATTCGTTTGAAGGAGCACAGAAGCGATGTAAAATTTCACCGAACATCAAATGCAATAGTACTGCATATAGAAAAGTGTAACCACTTACCTGACTGGGACGGTACGAAGATATTAGAAAACAACATAAAGAAAGGTACAAGGAAGGTCCTGGAAGCAGCCCACATCATCAGACGTGATACGTTTAACAGTAGGAGCGGATTTATCACATGGTCGTCAATGGCAGTAAAATCGGTGGTAGACCAGCAGAAGAAGAAAACACGCGGCTGATTAATTTCAAAGAATTTTTAGACGGTTACAGCGATTGTTATACTCATTTGCACAGTGATCAAGGTTCCATGAACCGAAAGCTTTGTGTGTCTTTTTGAATATATTTGAATGCATTTGTAATAATTTGGTTTATTATTTACATCATCATCCAACCTGTCATGGATACTCAACATATAACAATACCTAAGTGTATTTTGAAGCATTGGTAATGTCAATATTTCACGGAACTGCGAATTGACTACCGCAAAAAGTAAAAGCAACTAGCTTAGCCATTTTCGAAGACATCGCGCTAAAACTGTTGACAATGGGTCATCAGTATGTGTTCAATCACATGTGTTCCGTTTCTTTCATTTTGAATTGAGCATAAATGTAAGTTTTGAGGACCATCACAGTAGCAAACGCTTCGGGATATTTGGCAAAATATCCCGAATTTGACGAACTGCATGGGAAGCAGTGTTGATGAGAAAAGGGGCATTGTAGATGCAGAATACATTGTCTGCACCCACTGGACTGCACCCATGGTTCCTACGCTTATTGCAAATCTTTATTTCATGCTTACCTAAATTAAATGTTAATTTTATTGATTTTTTCTTTCATCATCCTCCTTAACCTTAATAAAAAATCGTGCAATTGTATGTACAGCTCGCCTTTTTATTCAGTTTCTTGGTGAACTTGCTTTGCACTGTACTCAATCAATAAATGTGACAGCTGTGATGAGTGAAATATATCACAGAAAACGAGGGCTGCGCCCACTAGTACAACCCGTAAATAAAATCTTTGATTAACTTTTATCTGGTAGATCGGGAAAGAGCGTTTAGAGTGGCATTTGAGTTTTGATAATCGGTTTTGTAGATCTCGGGACTTTTGACGGGTTCCGTATGCAAAGGTAACCGTTAGTTTGACGTTCAGCAGCTACGAAAGGGATATTAGGGAGCCTGCCAATGGTTTCGCACAACAAATAAACATGGTAACACATGGTAACATGTGTACGAGACACGAGTACATGGTTTCTCTTCCCTAGCAACAAAATATGTGCACTGCATGCTTGGCACGGACAACAGGCACATACAGGTACGAGCATTTGTCGAGTGGACATATGTTTGTAGACATAAATAAGACAGTATGTGACGTGTGTATGTACACTGTACACATCTGATGCACCTTCTCTGTGTACCCCCAAATCCTCTGCCAAATATCACAAGAAAGCTTCGTCAATATGCGCATCATTTGCCGTTAACAGTTCATATGTGAAATAATGTATATCTTTTTATATCGTCTTCTCTGTTCGCACAACGATTGATTAGGGTATCTTGTATAGTTCAGGGTGTTAACCCGCGCCCTGCTGGGGGGTGTTTGAACACCCCCCCCCCTTGTGGTTTTTCGCGAATATCTCAAAAACGGCGGTGCGGAGCGCCGCCGTTTTTGGTACACCTATACGATGGGTAAGACCCCTTTACGTTCAGTGCTAGCGATCTGGTTTTCAACCCGTGCTCTCTGCTGGATCCTGCCCTGGGGTGGCCGTTTCATTCAGTTTAATTTGCAGCTGCTCCCAGCAATATTTTAATTAAAGAAAATTTAAAAAAATATAATGGAACTTAGTAACTTTTAAAATTACATTCTCCGCTGTCATAAGTTTCTTTCGATGATAGAAGAGGATTTGTGATAAGTATGCCCATGATAATGCCAAGAACGCGCCTGAGGAGCTGACCAGAAAACCTCAGTCACCGGAAATCGCTACATAGGTCTCGCGATCTTGGCTTCCTTGATCCTTCCCCAGTCCCCACCCACTCCTGCGATCTTCCACAGGTATGTCGGGCTTCTGCTGCTGACCTGCGACTGACGACAGCATCCCATCGTCGACACAAAGCGGACGTGGATCGGCTGCCGAGCGGCAGCTCCAAGGCCTGCCAGCGCGCGCTGCCGCCGTCCCGCCGAGCTCCAGAGGCCAGCACGATCTCTCACGGGCCTCCCACAGAGGAGCAGCGTGGCTCAGCGTTCGCGCGGTGATCTATATGTCGGCGAGAATGGGTTATCGAAACGACCACCGGGGCAGTCGCCGCGGGGCTGGGGGTCGGGTCAGACGGGGTGGGGAGGACGTCTGCCCGGCCGGCGGCGGCGGCGACGGTGGCGGCGGCGCGGCGGCGCGCCGGCCGGTACCTACCCGCGGCCAGTCCCGGCTTCGCGCCCGCCCCGGCCGGTCAGTTGCGCGCGCCGCTCGTGGTGGAAGCACCGATCTCTCCGTCAGCGCCGTGGCGCAGTGTTCCGCGGACCAACACGCGAGAGGCGACTAGCGCGGGCCAGCGAGGCCTCCTGTGGCAACGGCGAGCTGTGTGGCGTGCGAGTGCGAACGACGCAGGACAAGCAGCAGCGCGCGGAGACGGACGGGCCTGGCGCGGCCGGGCGCCCCGCGGCCGCCTGTATGGGTCTGGTGTGTTCAGGTAAGTGGTACGACCGGTGCCTATCGCGCTATCAGTCAGTTCGCCGGCCGGCGACGGCGCCACCGACCGGTCGCGCCGCTGCACGTGACGGCAGCGCCACGGCTCGTCACAGCGCGCCGCGCCACGCCGGGCGCTCCCAATTATTATTAGATTAGAGTAATCGATTAGAGGAATCGACACAGACCTTGCCGACGAATATAGAGCATGGGTTTGTGGCAACTCTCCCGCAGATTCTCGAATCAGCCTGCAAGAGTCAGCCTCGTTACATCAGGTGTGACGTGAGCTGCGGTTTCATCACCTGTCGGAGTCCGTGTCTCCTCCTCCACCGCCGCCATTGGCGCTGCCGTCGGAACCCGACCGCCGCGGCATTCAGGATGCCCTGCGAAGCGCAGGAAAGCAGCAACCGGTTTCGGGAAGGTGCCAGGATAACATGCCACCGAGGGGCAGGCAGCGGTTCCGTTCGGCGAGCCGCCGCCGGCATCAATCGCGCACACTCCAGACAGACAGGTGATTGAGGCTCGAGCTACGACCTTGTCCGAGCATGATGCAACTTGGCACCGGCATTACCGAGACATGAGTGCACGCCGCCGTGTGGCGCTCCGGCCCGCGCGCCGCGCGAGCCGGCCAGACGGCGACTTGACAACCGGACACAGCCGGACGTGGACATGGGCGAGACGAATGTCCGACTGCGACGGGATGCAGAGCGGTGCCGATAAGAAGGGCAAGGGAGACGCCAAAGGCTGCCTCATTGCGCAATGGGAGAAAAGTTTGACCTGTCGGCGGAGGGTCAGTGTAATTGGAGTCAGCGATGGCGGCGGTCAGCGGTGGTCCGGCTGCATTGCAACACGCGGCGGCCTTTCCGGGCGCGACTGCACCTGCGGGGAGAGGAGAGGGAGGTCGGCGGGGCCAGACGGGACGGCGAGGGTGCTGGCGAGGCACGACCCGCCATATGGACCAGGCGGGCGGGGCTCGGACCGGCCCGGCGGAGCAGGGTGGGCGGCTCAGCGGCGGACAAACGCCCGAGCCAGACAGGCTGACTGTCAGGTGCGCCGAATGCAATGTGACAGCCCGGCAGACAATGTCGACCCACTGGCGCGCACGTTTGCTTGACGCGCGCGTGCACGAGCTCACGCACGTTGGCACGCACGCACGCACGAACTGTTTGGACAGGTCGTGTCGCACGGCCGCCGCGCCGTCCACCTTCCCACACACACCGCCCTGTCATGTCCGCAGTGCGGCTTACCTGCCATACTCCGCCGTCTTGTGAGGTCCTCTGTTATCCGAACGAGCCCCTTCGCAGCGATGTGCACCCAAGCCTGACAGGCCGACCGGTACGGTCGTAAACAGCGATCTGCCAGCCGTGTTCGCGGCGCCTATCGGGCATCACGTTGAAACATATGGATTGCAAATCTCACCTGTAGGTGTGCCGACCATGGTGTACCGACTCGCTCGAGCTCATGCATGCTCCAGACCGTCTACTTGTGGACAGATTGCATGTTTGCCTGGTCGCCACTCTCCTGCACCTCATGTCGTCTCGGTGGCGTGTGGCGCGCGACCCGTCCCCGCTCCCCGCGCTGACACCGACCGACAGGCAAAGAGTGCATCCTCCGATGGATGACGATGTCTGATAGCACTGACGGTTTCTGACGCGTCACGGCAGGCATGATACGACCGAGCTGCTTCTGGGGGAGCGGGCAGCTTTTCGTCGAACGACCTCTTCGGCGCCCTGAAGTGGGTCTGCACTTGATAACTCGCTCTGTGAGCCGCTATGGTATGATTGATTTAAAAACGCGCAAAGGAACGGATCGCGTCAAACTGGTTGAGCGCCGGAGCATACCGCAAAGACTGAGGTCGAGTAAACCGTGGCCGAAGTGACACAAGTATGCGGCTCCTGCTGCGTTTACGGCGATATCCAGTAAACATGTCGAGTTGCGCCTTGCTCTCGGTGGGCTGGTTGCCAGTTTTGCTCACAAAGCTTTGCCGACATAAACGGAACGAGCCGCGATCAAACATTGGCGGCTGTCGGCGCTGGGTGGTGCCCAGAGGAGCCTGTAGCTACCCGGAGTGTATACCGGGCTTCGGCGGGATGGGTAACCACCCAGAGGCCTGACTGCAGAGCGTCAATTTAGAGGCGTATATGAGACGGGATACACATGTAGGTGATCTAGCTTCTGAGTTGGAATTGATTGCCGTGCTCGGACAAACCATTTTGAAAATTGTTTGCCGCTTGATAGCGAGGGACTTCGGCTTCCTTGGTATTAGACATTCACCTTAATTACCACAATCGAAAGGTTTTTAAAATAATATCTTGATTGAAAATGTTTCCTACATGAAGCAATTATATTTTAGCTTTATGTGGTGCAAAATGTGGAATAAAATCTTAATCATCAAAGTAGGTACGCATATGAAGAACGCGTCCAAAATTGTGTTTATTTGTAATTAAAATTAGTTTGTAATTTATTAACGCTTGCTGTCGCCTGAAAAAGTGGGGATATTCTCAACATGATTGATAGATACAGCATTATTGTAACCGTTAAAATGTAAATGTGACGCCCAGTAGTAGGTACCTTATCCGATTCACATGATGTTTTGGCTACACGACAAATTTGCAGGAACTTGCTAGGGCCATGCGTTATAATATCAGACGCAGTCCCTTACTATACTAATGCTGTCAACAACCGCAAATTGAGTGTCGCTAAGCCTTCTATATATGGGGTTAAGCGACGGAAGCAATAAACACAATGTATCCGTTATATAAGGCACAATATTGTCGCGGTATACGGTTGGTCTCCAGCAGACTCTTTGTGAATTTCGTCTCAATGATCTGTTGAGTGTGGCGACTTGTCTCAAGGCCGTCAACTCCGAGCCTCCAACCGCCGATAGGCGAGGTGGCTGAGATATGTTGGCACCAAATCAGACAACAGCGACGCAGCGCCACCGCGCCTGCTTTGTATAGGGTAGGGTGCATTCGGATATAATAATGTAAATAACTTTGAAAGAAGTAATTGTAAATCGCAAAAATATAACAGATAAAGCGATTATTCAAGAGCATTTGAAAGTGAATCATCGGTCGTAGCAAATTGCATTAATCATTAGGGATGTTATTTGAAACTTTCATTGAATGTGGTTTGGTAATCTCTCATCGTGTTTTGTACTTACATTTGTACTGCTGCTTAGAAAACGCATACCTAATCTTGCAGCCTTTGTGAAGGAACTTTCGAAGGACTTCCACAGACGTTGACCTGCGCCGGGCCGGTGCTCGGCGCCAGCCACGCCGTGGCTATGTGATGTTTCAATCGTTTGTGGTAAACGGGACACAACTGATCAACGAGAAATTGATCTACATTCGCTTGCCTGTGCCTTTTTTTATCAAAGAATGGCGAACCTGTTTATTTTCCGGTGATTTTTATCCGAGTGAAATTGTATCAGGGTAGCTCATATCCGCTTATTGCTGTGAATTTTGTCTCGGGAAATGACGCGCCCTGAGGCTTTGGATGAGAGGAGCGGTAGTTAATTCTAGCCTATTCTAGATAGATCACCTATCGTCTCACTAATTTTAGGCCTCGCGCTAGGAAGCTAAAAATAACTCACCTTGACATGACCCTGTCCACTCTTCACTTTATGGATACGCTCTCGCTGCTTCTAAAAACGTCTCAGGTCCATGCTTTACTAATGGCGTATTGTGTTCCTTTTTTGTTTGGTACCACAAAGTTGCTGTTTTCGGTTCCGTGCGCGTTACGGAGTTGCCGCCGTGAGTCGTCATCATTCTCTCGGCGCCAGTCAGCGCCCAGGTGACCGTGCGACACCGGGTACAAGTCCTCCTTGGTTGAGGCCTGCGATCTCTGCAAGAGTTCACACCCGGGTGATACAGCAGCGCCGTTCCCGGCCCCGGTCCTCGTATACGCCAGTGTCGGCGGCGGCAGTGACGGAGGCGTCAGACCGGTCGCCATCGTCCGAGAGCAGCGCTGCCTGTTACCGTGTGGCCTGGAACTCGACATACCGCGCCTATCTGATCGCTCCCGCCGCGCCCCAGCCCAAAACGCAGCTGGTGTTTGTCCTAATATGGCCGAGCGGCCGCCCAGAGGGCGACTAAACAGGCCGACTGGAGGCCGCGCCAGCACGCCGGCCGGTCAGACGGTACGGCGCACCCGGCCGGGGTCGGGTTCGTGGGCCAGATCCGGGCCGTGTCCTCCCTGGTTTCGGCAGAGTTCCGGTGCTCTCCGGCCGCTCCGGAGGCGACTCCGGGCGCTCCGGCCGCCGCGACTCCGGGCATGCCGGCTGATGTGGGACCCTCCCGTGCGCCACGCGCTGTCCGTGAAGGAATGCAGGAGTATGTACACTTGTGATCGGGCCGCGTATCAGTCGTCGCCGCCGCCGGTGGCCCGTCAAGGCGGTCTTTGTGATTGGAGAGGTAATGTAAGCTGTCCTAATCCCTGGCCAAACGCATTCTCACAGAGATTTGCGCTGTTCGGGTGCCTTTCCCGTTTTCACCGGTTAGATCAGGCGATTGAGGCGCGGGCGGCTGCCGTAAGGGTTCTAATGCGACACATTGTCTGGACTAGGAGAAGCGTGATCCTCACATATTGTCTCCGATATTTGGGACGGCTGTGGAATTTCTGACAGCGCCTGTTTCTAACCGAGTGGCGATTATTTGGCGACGCACTCGCCTAACTGACGAAAGAATGTAAAGAAGCGCTTTAATTTGCCCTGTAACATGAAAAGCTATCGGTTGCCATCAGGACATGACTAGGCCGGAGTTTACGTCATCACACAGACATATCTGTCTTTGATAAGCGTATATCTTGGAGCATCGCCTTTCCTAAGCTTGCGTGAGGGCATGCTTGGACAGCCTAACACACTTAGCACGTCTGAGGTTCATGCGTCATGTACCCACGCCGGTGTATAAGGCACTGGCCAGCGGGCCATCGCGAGCCATCACCACGTGGAGGCCACACGCGCTTAGGGACTCCACAAAAAGACTTCCCGTCGTAGCAGAGCAG